AGATAATATTCCAGTACTCCTAGTTTAGAAAACTTATAACCCATAGCCCCCAAAGATTCTCTTTCAAATTTACTTTAACATATCCAGAAATATACAGAGAAGGTGACAATTTGCCACCAAAAACCGAGATTGAGGGAGAAGAAGTGTAGAAGGACATTTTTGTGAAAATTTATGTTCTCTTGGAGTAGGGAAGACGGTTCTAAATTGGATACCAAAGGCAGACATTATAAAGATTTATAGATTTGACTATAATATTATAGATAACTTCAGAGTATTTTTTAAAAGTTACAAGGTAAATGACAGACTAGTAAAAACCTTTGCCATATGTTTGTGTGTGTACACACACACACACACACACACAGAGGTTGCCAAAAAAATATACATTTTAAGAAAGGAAAAAACTGTACCAAAATGGTAATACTTGAGTTGTTAACTAAATGTTAACATTTGTTATCTTGTATATTATATCTCTTGTAATTGTGGAAATCAAACATGACTTGAGCATTGTAATTTTAATAGAGTTCTTTCCTAAAATGTGTATATATTTTTTGGCACCCTGTGTGTGTGTATAAATGTTAGACTTTCAGTTTCACGAGGAAGCACCACATACAAAATGCCTAGCACAGAACTGACACATAGTAGACTCTCAAATCATTTGATTAATGTATGAATGAAGATGGGTTAAGAAAATGACCATATAAAAATCAACTCTATAATATCCAGTAGAAGAATGATCTAGACCAGCGGTTCTCAACCTGTGGGTTGTGACCCCTTTTTAGCAATGAAAATACGTTGCGGCATTAGGAAGGTTGAGAACTAGTGATCTAGACCGTGTATAGGCAATTGACAAGTAAGAAAAGAAACATTTAAAAACCATTCCACCTCACATTGGCAATAAAAAAATGCCAATTAAATCAGAACCTATTACATAAATAAGTTTAATAACACTGGTGAGTGTCTGGGGAGATGGGCTTTTCAATGATGCTGATGTGAGGGTTAATTTGTACAATCTGTCATGAGGGCATTTTGGCAATATGTGTCAAAGGTTTACAATTCTGCATATCATCTGAACCAAGAGGAAGCCCAACACAGTCCTAAGGAAACATTCATGACTGTGCACAATGGTTTGGCAACAGGGACATTAATTGCAGCTTCTTTTACACTCATAAATCTATGGCAATAAATACCCAAAATGTGGATATACAGTCATTAAAATGATATTATATAAGGCTATGTAGAAGCATGGAAAGATAGTCCCTTGAATATGGAGAAGTAATCAAAAATAGGTTACAAAATGGCACACATCACATAAAGCTCTTGAACAATCCCTTCAAGTATTTTCTCTCAAACTGAACACTCTAAATGGCTTCAAACATTTGTCCTTGAAAGATGAGCAAATTTTCTGAACTCAGAGAGCGGCCAAAGTATGCAGGAAGCCTTGGGGATCATATAGGAAAATGTTCATGGGACACTGGTTCTAATTTCCAAACTTTTTTGCTTAGTTTCTGTTAACAGTGCCCTACTTTGACATGAGTCTGGCCAGAAACGTTTTGTATTTATAGGGACACCATGGGAACAATGAACAGAACTATTACCAAAGTAACAGAAGTTAGCTATATAGTGAGGATGGGAAAGGCATTCTAAGCAGAGAAACCCAGCAAAGGCACAGAGACACAAAAGGCCCTGGCACGTTCAGGGCATAGTGAGTAACTAGTCTCAGGTGCTTAAAGCCTATTTGGAGGTGATGAGGGACTGAGTGAGCAGCAGATGAGATGGAAAGGTAGGCCAGGATTTAGGGCTTTCCCCTAGTTTTTGCAAGTCTGAAGCAGAACGATGGTATGCTGACAGCCACGTTTTTGAAGGAGCACTATGGTGACTGCACACAGGGAGCAGGGGACACCATATGCTTAGTGAACTTAGGATCAGATGTGTTGCTGGTTTGTGACTAAAGTGGTTTCTTTCGGCATTTTCTTTTTTATGTTGGCCCAAGCTCCCAGGAATAATGGGGCCATTAGCCTACCCCAGGCAGAAAGAGGAAGATGGGTGATGGCAGATGGGACGCATTCATGTCCCCCGTTGCCAACCCATTATATTTTTCTTGACCTGGGGCTTGGATGGCTCTGCAGAGGTAGGTGCCAATCCCAGGGAAGGGCGGTGGCTCTGTGCTGGAGGCTGAAGGGACTCAGGGCCTTCAGCAGCCTCAGTGCCTCTGTTGGTGGGCTTGTGTCTGCATCTGCAGGACTGGGGTGAGTTGGCTGGGGTGGGGGAGGGTGGAGGAGGCAGGAACTGAAGGGGAAGAATTGCCAGGTTTTTGTGAGGTCAACATGTGTTTGAAGCAATTCAGAATTTAACCGAGAATGTAATTAGGTGATTTTTTGTTTTTGTTTTGCTTTAAAGGAAAAATTCAGAACCTGTGACTCTTGTTCACGAGCACATGGCTGGATGTAGTCATTTTCAGTTTATGGAAAATGTGGTCAACCCCATAAATCAGGGCTGAGGAATTCTTACAGTCATCACCGTGCAAGCAGTGCAGGTCTCTAGTGAGTTTTCCAAGGTTATGCAAGACAAAACAGAAAAAGCATGTAGACAAAGCTACGATCCTGTATTCCCTCCCCCTGGAATTCTTTCCTGAGTAGCCACACAGCAGCTCTGACTCTGGCTCTTACTTAATCTGTGACACTTCTCGTGTAACTCCATGTGTACATCAAAATGCCTGTGGTTATCACCATGACTACAAGGTCATAAGTCTCTGCATCTATTTCTCTCATGTACCTTGTAATTTTAGCAAGACTTTTATAAAGAAAGCCCATTTAAGAGTAAACTGAACAATTATGACTTGTGACAGTGAGGAGAATATGTTCAAAGGTATCCTAATCCTTAAATTTCCTGTACTTCAAATCTATTATTTTGCATGGTTGGAGAATTAAGGTCAAGGTGGTATTGTGTTTCTCAAAAACATATGGACCATCTCCAAATGTTAATACAAACTGTCATTCAGAATTAGTAAAGAAGAGATTCAAATTAGTTGTGATTCATTAGAGGCAATTCCATCAGTTTTCATTCCATTATACATAAGGATAACCTGCCTTTTACTCCCAGTGTTTTTATATCTTATAAATGATAATATTTCTTTCAACCCTTCCTTTTTCTTATATCTCTCCCAGTTGGGTTGACCCAGTTCTTGAATCTGTTTCTGCCAAACTGGTCAGTGGAGAATGGACTGTTAACATATTTTTGTGGAGATGTTTTTCAGTAGTTCTGAAAAAAAATGGGATTATATACCATACTGGCACATTCTATCACACACACACACACACACAAAATACTATTGAGTCCTACTTTATATATCTTGTTATTTTTTTTTTAATCTGTTAGAGGAGTCTCATGCATACTAAAAAAAATTTCTTCATTTGCCACAGAAACCAGCCATCATTTCTAAGACCAAATACCTCCATGAGCACTAACTTTATGGTCTATGCTCATTTCTGTTAACTGTGGTGTTTTTACTTTAAAAGTTGGTATAGACATTTGTATTTGTTGACTGTCACAGAAAGAAGTTCAGCATTTATATAACCTGGTTTCACGTTTGTACTTGTCTGCTGTTCCTGCCATAACTCGGAGCAACAGCTAATTGGGCAGTAGCTTGCACAAGCTGTAAAACTTTACACCAAATCCCCTCAGCCACAAACCACCCATTGTTACCAGGTGCAAAGGGAGAGGGGGTGTGGGGCTTGTCTGCCAGGCTCTGCTCTGGTGTTTATTAGTTGTGCCATGTTGAGGGGTGAGAAAAGATGGGGTCTCTCTAACACATACCAATTGCGTTAACTATGCACAGACAGAACAGCCCAGAGTAAATAATCATGAAGGCTATCTCCCAGTGATTGAGCCTTCTAAGTGTTCAACAGTGGACCACGTGTTTTATAAACGTAACCTTCCCCAACCTGCTGCACTGTGAAACAGTTATTGTCAACTACTTTTTTGTTTTAAGACTAGTCTTAAATTCCTGGGCTCAAGTGATCCTCCTGCCTCAGCCTCTCAAGTGGCTGGGACTACAGGTGCACCTCACCATGCCTGGCTCTCAGCTACTTCATACAGATGACATGGAGAAAGGTTAGGTGACTTGCCTGGAGTTCTCCAGCCAGGAAGTAAGGTTTGAACCCATATCTGCTTGATTTGAAAGGAGTTCTAGATTAGACACATTTAGTTTGCTTTTTGGTTAAAGTGCTTGATTCCCAAGGAACCAGATGGATGATACAGGTTGCTGGTAGTTGAGGGAGAATCTGGTCTCAAGTTGTGCTCTGCAAAACTTGTGGAAGAGAGACTGGCTCTTAGAAGAAACAGCGATGGTGTCATTCAGCATCTGAACCACAGTTGTTTCCAGCATTGTTACTGCTTGGACCAGAAAAAGCTATTCAACTTCTCTTGTCCTTTGTTTCCTCATTTATGAAATGAAGGCATGGGCTGGATGGTTTCTGAGGTCTCTGCTGGCTGTAACTCCTCTTGGCTGGTGACATTCCAAGTGTGGTCCTGACAGCGCCTAGACAAATCCTCACCCCTCTGTGGTCCTGGACCAGTTGGGCCCAACATCCACTGGAAGATGGTAGGAGTTTCCTGCAGCCCCAGGTTCCCTCACCCTATCCTTGAAGCACTGGCCCTCTGTTCCTTACCACCTGCAGTGTGGCTTAGGACCAGCACACCACTCTCTTAGGCTTACTTTATTCACTGGTTTTGCCCATAAATTGAGAAGCTCAAGTTCTAGGATGTTAAATTCAACATAGCTCTGTCAAAATCCTTTTCAGACAAGCAAATCGAAAACTCAAGGTCTTATAACAACCAGAATTTTGAAAATGAGGATCTGATTTGTCACACCATTAAATAGTAGCTGAATGTGTACTTCTGGAGCTATTCAAGCTCTTCTCTAGAATCCAAAGTTATTCCAGCTCTACAAAGACAGAGAGTGAGAAAAAGAATGTGTGTGCATGACTGTAATTGAGTCCTACCGTGTCTCCTGGCTGTGGACGCATCACAGACACACGATCATATCCTTTTCTCAGTAGGACCCACAAAGCATCGAGTTTTCCCTGAAATAAAACAAATACACCCAGATTACATATGTAGGCATGTAGAGCTTTCCATACTTCTTCAGTCATATGAATAACACAGCACCAAGAATAGGGTTGTGATGGGATTATGAGTCTCTGGCTTCTAAGTTCAGAATTCAGGTTCCATAAATGTAGGAGGAGAAGAGACACACAGTAGGAGACTCTGAGGCTAAAGAAGGATCTGCTCTGAGACCCAAGTGGTGTCCCACATTTGCAAACATGTTCATGCAAACATGAACAAAAGCAAATGTGAGTTGAAGTTTGCTAAGACCTTTTGGAGAAGTAAGGTGATGTTTTGGGCTGTGTTATTACTGGTGATGAAATGTGGGTGTGCCAATACAACCCTGAACAAAGTGTCAAAGTGCAAAATGGAAGTCAGAAAATTCTGCACGATCAAACTGTTCCACCAGTCCAAAGTAAGAGTCAAACCATGTTGCTAACCTTTTGATATCAGAAGGATTATTCATTATGAATTGGCACCAACTGGATAACTTTTAATCAAGTTTACTGTTTGGAAGTGCTGAAAAGGCTACATAAAAAAGTTAGACAAAAACGGCCTGAACTTCTTGCCAATAACTCATGGCTCTTGCATCATGACAATGCACTTAGTTCATACATAACTGTCGGTGAGGAAGTTTTTAGCCAGTAAACAAATATATTGGAACATCCTCCCTCCTCACCTGATTGGCTCCCAGTGACATTTTTCTTTACCCAAAGTTCTTTACCCAAAGATAAAGGAAATACTGAAAGAAAGACATTTTGATGACATTCAGGCTATCAAGGGTAATATGACAGTTTAGAAAAGAGTTCCAAAATTTCTTTGGAGTGTGGACTACAGGCTGGTGTCCACATCTTTCCAAGTGCATATCTTTCCACCGAGTACTTCAAAGGTGACCACAGTGACATTCAGCAATGAGTTAATTATGTAACACTTTTTCTAGGGTCAGTTCATGAACTTAATTGTCAGACCGAACATGTGTATATAAGTATACTGGGCCAAAATGTAACATGCATTTCTTAGGAATATTGCAGAAGAGGTCTTTGAATGACAGTGCTGGAAAGGCTAGTGAAGTCTAGAGGGTTCAAGTTCTTGGACACAAACCATTTATAATGGCAGTGTTAATTTAGGAATCATCTCAAAGACTTCATGTTCTTTATTTTCTGGTGGGTTATATCATATAAAAAACTGTGTTCTTGAATCTTCATCAACTGTTGTTTGAGTTCTTGCGGGTTAAACTTTGTATTGCCAAGTGTAGTGTTTCTCATCTCTTTCAGCAAGGAATTTACAAAGCCTTTAAAAATATTTTGAAACAACTTTAGAATGCTGGCTAGAACTGCTGCTGTGTGCAGCGTGGTTTTTTGCATTAAACCATTTCAATCATCAGCTAAATGTTTTCCTTTAAGGTTCTTTGGGATAAGCATTTATATTTCAGGATATAACCAGGTGGATTTCCTGGATGAATGCCTCTTTTTCTTTCTCTTCCCCTCCCCCCCTTTCTTTTGGACGGGGAGGACTCCCAGTATTTGGCTTTGTAAATCAGCCCACCCACGGCACTCTGTGTGCTAATAACTCAACTCTTTGACAAAGGAGGAGCAATGAGATGGGCTAAAAGAAGAAAATTTGGCTGTTGATGTGTGTTAATTAATTCAGCAGAAATTTGAAGTTCCATGAATAGCAGAAGAGCGGAAACCACCTAAATGTATGATGTCGGGAGAATGGGTAAGAACACAGCATAGTGTTATGCACAAAGTGACTGGCGCCAGCTGGCCCGAGCTTGTATTCTGGGTCTCTTCACCAGCTTTGCAGGTTGGGTGAATTATTTCATCTCTAATCCTTACTTTCATCAACTTAAAAAAATTTTCTTATTAAAATTTTTAAAAAAATTTTTATCATCTTTAAAATGGAGATAATTGCACCACCTACTCTATAGACTTGTTATAGGGTCTGAAATTAAATATTACAGTTACAGCTCTCTTGCTGGCATTCCTGTCTCCCCTTGCCCCATCGTCTCCACAGCCCATGCCTTGGCCCAGACCCTCATCATCTGTCGCTCAATCGGTGAAGAGTTTCTCCATTGGCCTTTTACCTACCTCCAGGCTTTCTGTTCTCCCTCCTTTCATTCATTAAGAATGAAGTTCGTTGCTAACCCAAATGGATGCACTGCAGTTAGTAAAATCAACTATGAAACATCTTTAACCATTACCACTGTGAATCTGGGCAATTGACAATGCCTCTGTATCTTAGTTTTCCCATCTGTAAAATGGGAGCAGCAGTAGATTCTACTTTTGAGGGTTGTTCTGAGTAACAAAGGTGTCAGTGCACAGAGAGCACTTGGAACACTGCCTGACCTGTGGCGCCTGCTTCATCAAGGTGAGCTCCTGTCACTGGGCTCTTCTGACCAAGGTGAGACCAGTCAGGTCCAGTGTGGCAGAATGTTGAGAAGCACTCTAAGTTCTGCCTATCCCACAAATGAACCCAAAGTCCCCCATCTGTAGCACGGAAAATCATCCGGGCATTCTACACAACCTGTGCTCCTTTCTGCTCCTCCATCAAGTAGCTTTTCTTAGAAGAGTTGACACAAACTTTGGGGAAAGTGTTTACAACTAAGATGAGGAGAAAAAACAACTCTCAAAAGTAAAAGAGAAATGTAAAACAAAGGTTCTCAATGTGGGCAGCAGCCTGTCATTTAACTCATTAACTGTCATGTGAGTTATATTCAACTTATGCTAGTTTTAAGCCTGGAGCCTCGTGAAGCATATATAACTCACATGTCTCTTGACCTAATAAAACATCATGACCCCAAAGATTTTTTTTCCTAGTATGTCAGGGAATGTGTTAAAGACAACAGCTACCTCCCTAAAGACCTCGTGCTACCTCCCTCTGGGGCCAGAAATGTCTCAGGGGCATTCTTCCAACCGTCCCTGGGCTTTCCCTGAAGTCTGGGAAGAGCCTTCTAAGTTGTTCCCCCTTAATTCTCTCAGGTTTGGGTGTCCTTTATGCACAAGCCTCTTTGCAGGATGCATTTAAGACACTCAGAGCCTTCCACTGGAGGGTATTAGCTGACATTTAAAAATAGCTTTCTCTCATATGAAGTTCACACATTTTGACCATAAAATGAGAAGTTTACCAACTCTGGGCTCCCCAACTGTATCTTAGCCTCAGACAATAACTCCCAATCCACAAAGGCAGATGAAGTGCAAGTTCCATGTAAACTCTAACTTTTCTTTCTTTCTAAACAAAGGCTGTGCGGGAAAGATGGGGCAGTCAGCATTTAAGCGCCTTGGGGCATGGGCTTGTTTTTCCTCTTTTTTTTTTTTTTCTTGCCAGGCAACAGCTGTGTCTTCTCTTCTGGTTCGCCTGCCTTCCTTAGTTGGAAGTTAGTCAGAGGTTGAGAATTGTGAGCGTGGTTTGACGGACAGGGCCACTGTAGACAGAGGCCTGACTTTTTACACCCTGACCTACGCGGTGAATACTGTAGTGTGACTTAGGCTTCTCTTCAAATGAAATACATTAATGGATAAAGTTGCAGCTGTTTCTTAAACATGCACACCCACAGGGGTTATTTTTGTTTTGCCCCCCCCCCCTTTTTTTAAACAAAAGTTTGGAACTTTTCTACAAAGTAGCCAGAGAAGGGTAAAATCTGTTCACCATCAACAGCACATGTGACAGTGCTTAATGCTCCAGTCTGTCCTGGCTACGCACAGCTTCATCCAGTATGGTTTCAGGGCCGCATCCTGCCAAGGTCAAGGTGATGAGGCCAAGAACAGGCAAGCCTGACAGGAAGGGAACAGAAGACCACCCTACTCCCGAGCCTTGCAAACATCACAGTCCAACCCGCCCCCTCAGAGGCTGGCTCTCTTGTGGAAAGTAGCAGTCTGCATGGCAATAGGACTCTGGCTTTTGTCCTTCAGCTGTCATTCTGCCATTTCTAGTCAAAGGGAGGAGTTACTGGAGAGGGAGAAAAACGGTTTCTCTGAGGGCTGCAAGCCTCCAGCAAACCTGAAAACAGCTCTGGTTTTAATCTGTCTGGTGGCCATATATCTGGGCATGACTTAACTTGTCTGAAATGGTCAGTCCCAATTTAATGAGAAGTCTGGGGTGTTGTAAACCCAGGGGGTGAAAACCAAGCAGAGGAAAATGCAGGCTGAATATTAGGGAAAATTTCCTGATCATGAGCCAGGAATGAGGAAGGGGGGAGGTGTGGTTGGTGTGGTCGGTGCCTTAAATTACACAGGGGAAAGTGGGTGAAGAGCCCACTCTTTGCTCTGTGAGTTCCCACAGGTTTGCTTGGCCAATGTGCTCACCTGCTTCTCAACTCCACATCACGTAATGCGTGAAAAAAGTGAGTTCAACGCAATACCAACATGTCTATGGCTTTGGCCACCTTCACTGGGAAGGTAGGAGACTCCCCAGTACCTGGGGAAAGTTTGTGCTCAGGGGAGGTGTTCTCCCTGCTGACAGTGGGGCAAGAAGGTGGGCAGAGCGGATGGGTGGTTCTCCCTGAGCTGCCCGCCCCATCCACTCTGCATTTCCCTGCCCACCCCAGGCCTTGGAAGCTGCCTCAGCATCAGCTGGCTTCCTTGGGTGTGGCTAAGAGGCAGCACCAGCGGAGATGAGAGAGTCGGGGCATTTGTTCTTCCTCTCTCCAGTCTTGGCTGCATCCTTGCACACATTTTTTGTAAGGATTTTAGGCTTTGCAGGTCAAGAGGAAAAATTGAGGATAGTATGTAGGTACTTACATAACCATTAAAAATTGTAAAAACTGTTGTTTGTGGGTCATATAAAAACAGGTGGTGGGGTGGGTTTAGAGTGCTGATTCTTACTCCGAGGCCACAGCTCCCGCGGGTGGTCCCTCTGCCAGGGCTGTAGCTCTCCCTGGGCTCCCATAACACCACTCACCCCACCCCCGCCCTGCAGGCCTTGGCAGGTAAGAACTCTCCCTGTTGCTAGTCTCCGGGTATCTCACCATCTTTCTAGGTTCCCTGAACCCTGGCCACCACTTTTATGAGGGCGCCTTTTGTTTCTCACCAGGACCCTGACAAATGCAGGGAGAGGGTTCAGGAAAGGGAAGAAGAGTTTATAGACGTACATGAGGCTAAATGTTTTGTCCAAGGCCCAGCAAATTTTGCAGGCACAGTGGCTAGAACGTGAATACAGGGCGTGTATTGGGTTTAATGGTATGAATGCTGATGTTCTGGGAGCAAGTCTGCCTAAATTCCGGATGAAATATCCACTACTTCTGGATTCCTTTCTATGTCTTCTATTCTCCTTGTCCCCATCTTTCCCTCAGCCAGATTCACTGAGGATGACCTCTTTTTCTCTCCTCTCCTCAAAGAGGTGGCAAGAAGGTCACCTTCCTGGATGGAGTGTACCAACAGGATCTGTGTGGTCTGCTGGGCATGACACTCCAGGACTGGTTTCATAATTACATCTTATGCCTCAGTTCTTTGATAAGACACGGTGGAGTCCCTCCTCTGTGCCAGGTACAGTGCTATTTACTGGGGATTCAAAGCACAATGGGGGCCTGCAGGGGGTCAAATCTGGCAGAGAGTAGACTCATAAACATGAGTAATCACATCGCCTCCTCCCTAGCAGAAGAAACTGAGGAAGCACTGGCATTAGCTGGTCCACCAGGTCACAGGCGCATTGGTGCTTCTCCTGTCCTAACAAGGGAGCCCTGCTGAGAAGCTCAGCAAGTCCTCCAGGGATGCAGATCTTCTCTGTCTGGCCTTTGGAGGGACTGCATGACATTCAGATTCCCAGTCACCTATCATTGATGCAGCAGTTGTGTTTGTAGTAAAAATGGACCTCCGTGTGAAACCTGGTGTGGGTCTCCTTGCAGAGACTCCTCACAAATCACTGAGGCAAGATCATGGCCTCTTTGCCGATTTTAATAATTCTGGCAACTGCAGTTTCTGTCCTTGGGAAACCTGCTATGGGATGCTGGCTGGAAACTTTGGTGACAACTTCTTAAATGGGCTTGTTAAAGGCCCCACCTCCAGAGTTTCTGATTTAGTAGATGTTGGGTGGGCCCCAGGAAGGTACATTTCTAGTTAAGTTCTTAGGTGATGCTAATACTGCTGGCCCAGGGACCAGAACCACTGGTTTCACACAAAGACTGAGGGGGGAGCTCAAGAGCCCCACTGTGGAGGTGGTGGCAACTAGGGCAGCACAGAAGTATTGCTTAGGGAGTTGGGGTGTGAAATTTGGAGGCCTTATGGATAAAAGGAGCTTCATTTAGTGAGAAAAAGTGGCAAACTGTGAGAGTCAGTGTGCTTTGGGAGGTCTTTTGTGAGACTCTGAGTCACTAGGCTTTGGAATTTGCATCTTTAAAGTGCTCCCAAGGTGATTTTGATTCTCAGCATAAGGACTGGGAATCTCTGTATATTCAGTATCTAACAGTGCCCGGCACATAGTAGGTGCACCACGAATACTCACTGAATTGAGACTAATTGCAAGTGAGTGTTAGGAATGTTTTTAGATTTCCAAGTGCGGTGTCCATATTCTTATTTACTGCATGAAACTCGTCTTAAATTACCAGTTGACAGACAAATAGCATGCTCTCAAGCAGAAATTGAATTCTTCAAGCAGAATTAATGTTCTCTCAATGCCCAAGATTACAGAAATGGAAACCTGGCTATAAGCAGAGTTGTTGTGTTAGTCACAAGGTACAGATTCCTAAAAGCGATGTAATAGAGAATCTCCTTTCTTCTCCATCTCAGAGATTTTACTTGGCTCCCTTCTGTCTGCACAAGCCTGCACGCCACTGCGTGTTCCCCATTAGAAAATAATTAGAAGCAAACAGCTGTTAGTCAAGCAAGCTGGGTTTTGCTCACATCATCTCAGAGTTCAATCCATTGCCCCAGAGGGATTATCTTAAAAAAAAAAAAAACAACAACAAAACCCAACTCACTGCTTTATGGTAACCCAAGATGGGAATGCATTGCAATCCGTGGGAGCCAGAGCTAGCTTGGCTGAGAAAGGACCATACCAGTAAAGGGTCACTACACTGTTTGAAACAGTATTGCTTTTTATTTTGTAGAAGAACAGCTTCAAAATTAGCACATAACTCAGTGAATGATGAAAATTATCTCTGTTGCCATTGGAAGAGGGGCACGGCTGTGCATGTGTGTGTGTGTGTGTGTGTGTGTGTGTGTGTGTGTGTATACTGGGTGGTGATGGGCGCTGGCTCTTATACTGAGACTTTCACTTCTGGTCTTAGAGTCACGTGGGGCCTTGGGTTCCAGACCTTGGCAGAGCAAGGACTTTGCCTATCTTAGTGTTCTATATAAGATGAGGGAATGGGGACAGATGATGTCTAGAGTCTTTCCAGCTATGATTTTCTAGTAGTTTCTGACCATTGGCAGAGTGCAGAGGTCTATGGGGGAGACTAAAGAGGTATTGATCAAATAACATGAATTAAAGTCATTTGCAACCAAAGGGAATAGAAAAAAGGCCTTCAGGAAGCTTCAACTGCCCCTTTGACTTATATTCCCTAATAAGTCAAAGAGGATATTAAACTCTGGATCTGCAGAGGGAAGAGAAATGGCGAAAAAAAATGGAGATCTGCTCACGGCTAGGAAGAGTAAGTACTAGGTCGGTGGCCAGAATGGCTCCCTGATACATCTGTGGGAGGCTTGAATGAAGCGGAATGGGCTTGTGTTATAGCAAAGGGGGTGGAGACGAGCACCGGGAGAATGCTGCCACTTTTGGCAGATAGCGGATCCTACTCAATGAAACTGAAGGTTATGGAAATTTACAGTGACCCCCTGGGTTTACAACCCAAGTCACTTGACTCATAGCACAGGCCTATTCCACTACTTCGCCATGGTGATTTTTGAAAAGTTTTCAACCTCAGTAACATAGAAATTGAGAGAGTAATCACATATCCATTCAAGTCCATATTTGTCCCCCTGCAATAAGTTAGATTTTTTTCCTTAATCACAGGAGCTACTCAGACTGCAGCCTTTCCCTCTTACTCTCCTGGAGTGAGAAGGATGGGATAAGCTGGATTTTGTATGAGATTTTATCAAGTCCAAAGATTCTGATTCTTACTATGTAAGTGCTTTATCGGGACTGACGATGGGTTTTAGTAGGGAGACTCACCTTGATTGGAGAGTACCACTTGGGCGGGGAAGAGGGCCGCCGCATGTTGTTGTTGAGATTGCGAGGCTCAGGGAATTCATACTCTTGCTCGGGCATCTTGACTCTTGCGTTCTTTGCCTTTTCCAGTTTAGCACCTTCTTCTGTGGAGCCCTTTTCTCCCCAACGGACCTAAAAATAATGAGATACAATAAAACAAGATGACAAAATAAAATATGGGAATCACAACCACATGTGTGATGTGCAAGGCAAGTGCTACTCAAGCCTCAGTGCTGGGTTTTGAGGGCCAGGGAAGATGGAAAGTATAGAAAAAGAGAAAGAGAGAGAGCTGAAGGAGCTGTGAGAGTGAGTCGTGTGGACGGATATGTAGGGGGAAGAATTGTCCAGGCAGCAGGGGTGGTACCTGCAAAGGCCTTCATGCCCAGGTAAGAACTTTGCATTTTATTTGGTCAAACCCTGGAGAGGTTTGAGTAGATGAGAAACCTGCTCTGACTCCTGGTGGGCAAAGTATGGGCACAGTGAAAAGGCTGTAGCTCTCATCTTTTTGTCTTACAATCTTCATCCCCACCAGACCCTGAGCATGAGTTTTCACAGATTGGTGTGTGTTTCTGCCACGGAGTAATCGATACACAGATAGTGTACATTCCACCGTCCTCTTACCTCCATCCTCTTGATGCCTCCAACGCCTCTCCCGCCATAATATGAGGCATCTACCGTAGGCCACTTTTTCTTAGGCAGGCCATCATCATCTTCTTCCTGCAGAGAGATTGGGACATGTGAAGGAAGCAAAGCACCATGGCTATGTGGATATGTCCATTATGGGAAAGTGGATAGGAGAGGAACTTGTAGAGTCAGATTGCCCGGCTCAAATCTCAGTGCTTCTGTGTCTAAAACCTTGGGTGATCATCTAACCTACCTACTTTATCTGTAGGGTGGGAATGACGCAGTACTACCCAGTAAGCCTGCGGCACAGCCCTGGGACCTGTCGCCTGTAGCTTTACTCCTCTGTA